TTTCTCTGTGTAGCTTTGCGCCTTTCCTGGAACTCACTTGGTAGCCCAGGCTGGCCTCGAACTCACAGAGATCCGCCTGCCTCTGCCTCCCGAGTGCTGGGATTAAAGGCGTGCGCCACCACCGCCCGGCTTGGGACTGTTTTTAAAGCATTCTGACTCAGTTTAACAGTGGTATCATCTCTCTCCATGGTGTAAATAACAGTGCATCTGACTGGCGACGGCCCTTAAAATGGTACTACAGTGGAATTATCCAGTTGGGCCATTCCCATTTACTTGTCTGTTTTCCCTCTGGACTATCAATGTTTATTCGTTGTTTTTACCTGGTGATGGTAGCTCTGGCTTATGTAACAAAATACTCAAAATAATAATTGTTGCACCAAGACAGACGTTGATTAGGACTCAGCGTGTGAGAGCAGACACCCCAGAGGGTAGGACAGCTGGGTCACCAGCGTCTTGAGTTTTAGTTCCCTGCCATCACAAACACGGCGTTCACCTTCTGGCCCCAAAAGGCTGCTGGCTGTCGTCATCATGCTAATATGGAGGGAAGCAAAAGAGGGACTCTTTGATGAATCCTTCTTAGAAGTCATAAACGGCACTGTTGATACCCTGCTGGCAAGCACTTATTACAAAGATTCTAGATAGAAAGTACAGGCTTCTGTCTAGACATCAAGTAGCTAACTAAGACCCAAGGGCCCTATTCCTGGGGAAGGCGGGGAGAAAGGATGTTGAGGGAGAAGTGCCATGATTATTAAACTTCATGGCGCCCATTCAAGTGCATTGTGGGACCTAAGAGGGTCTGTTCCTTAAGTGCAATGGAGCTCTCTTGTGGAGAAGAGGTGTGAGCTGTGCTTTGTGAGATAAGCAGGGTTTAAAGTGAGAAGAAAACAAATAGACAAGGGAGGAGGACTGGTGGCATCCACCTGTAACCCCAGAACTGAGGAGACAGAGGCAAAGAATCATGAGTTCAAGGCCAGCCTGGGCCACATAGTGAGACTGAGTCCCAACAACCAAATAGGCAAGGGTATCTGAGGCAGAGGATGACCAAGCCAAGGCCTTGCTGCAGGAGAGTTTTAAGGTAGGCTTGAGACCTGATTAAGTTGTCCAGAGGAAGGGGCCACACAGACAGCTGGCTAGCAGCACTCAGGCTGGGAGGGCCCCCTGTGGTGCTGTGTGGATTTTGGACTTCCTGTTGTGCACACCATGCTTGTCATGAGTATGCGGCGAGGATCCCACGAAATGAAGCAAGAGGAAGTCCTTGTAAACTACGGCACCCCACGTGGTATGTCTGAAAGATGGTTGAGCATCTGCCATCAGAACACAGGCCGAGGGTTGCCATGGGAGGGCATGAAGGGTGTGCTCCTCCAGTCCTCCTGCGGGTGAGCCACCACTTACCTGTCCCCTCGGGTGGGAGGGGGACTTTGGAGAGAACAGGCAAAGCACATTCAAACAAAGGGACAGGAATTTTCAGTGGGACACAACCACATGGAAGACAAGGACAGGTAGAACGGAGGAGGGACGGTTCTGGGTTGTCCTGAGGCCCATTTTTCTCTCCCTTCTCTAGGAAGCACAGAGGCCTGTGCTAGCCTGAGGCCAGTTCAAGGGCCCTGGGCTCACGGGAGTCAACCTGCAAGGTTCCTTGACGCCTGGGTTCGAGCAGAGGGTGTGGGGGAAGTGAAACACACAGCTCACTTGTGGAGCTCTGGGAGAGTGCAGGCCTCCCCCTCCTCCCTCCTCCCTCCATCCCTCTTCCCTCCCTCCATCCCTCCTCCCTCCCTTCCTTCATCCCTCCTCCCTCCATTCCTCCTCCCTTCCTTCCTCCCTCCCTCCCTCCTCCCTCCATTCCTCCTCCCTCCCTCCTCTCTTCCTCCTCCCTCCATCCCTCTATTCCTCCTCCCTCCATCCCTCTATTCCTCCTCCCTTCCTCCCTCTATTCCTCCTTCCTTCCTTCCTCCATCCCTCCTCCCTTCCTCCTCCCTCCCTCCCTCCTCCCTTCCTTCCTCCCTCCATTCCTCCTCTCTCCCTCCCTCTGCTTGGCTGCCTCAGTCTCCCGCAAGTCACTGTTCGGAGTGAAGCCCTGGGCACAGGCTCTGAGCTGTCCTGGGGAACACGGCCGGCCGGGGCCACTTGGCATCAAGTCGGAATTGGTTCCTTCCGCAGAGTGGATAACAGCATTATTCTTTGTAAATAAGGACGGCAAAGACCGAAGCTAGAGCTGAAAAGAAAGGTCACCCGAGGTCAGGTTGTCCAACATGCACAGAATACAGAGAGGAGCAAGCCCTTAACGCCAAGCTACACAGGCAGGCTTGACTTTTGAAGACCTGCTTGTCAGTTGCTGTCTTGAGTCTGACTTGCCTGAGTTTCTCAAGTGTTTCCTCAGTGACACTCCCAACAACCCTGGGGTGGAGGTAAGAGAACTCCTATTTATAAGGTAAGCTGAGGCTGGCGAGTGTCTTGCCCAAGGTCACAGGGCCACTTGAGGTAGAGCTGGAGCTGAGAAAGATCTAGGCTCCCCTTCTCTCTTGTGTAACTTGGCAGCTGGCCTCCACAGCAGGAATGGCATTAACTATGTTAGGCCAAGATGGCTGCTGGCCTTCCCTCCTCCCAGCCCCAGACAACTATTGCTGGATAAGGGGTCACCTCAGGAGCCCTGGTGTGTCTTCCTGGCCCGGCTGGTTCATCCCTGACTAAGACATTCTTTTTCCTGGCAGGAGTTTGGTTTTCCATGGGTCACTCTTTTTAATTTATGTCCTCTTCCCTCACCCTCTGCCCCCAAGCCACCCTCAGTTCCTGACACCTTAGTTTAGCTGGGTGTCGCAGCCACCCGGTCCCCTTCCCAGCAGAGGCTGCAGGCAGCTGCTACACAATGCCATGTGGTCTGGTGTGGGATATGCATAGTTTAGACATGTGAGTTGTCCTTTAGAGACTGCAACATGTGGCTGGCAGAGAGATGGGGGACTCTGGTTCCCCCATGACAGGGAGGTAAGAAAGATGTGTTGACGAGTGGGAAAGACAATGGGCTGGGAGTAAGGACACCGGCAGATTCCCAGCTCCTTCGGGGCTGGTGTTGGGAGATTGTTGCTGGCCCTCAGACGTAAGCCAGCCCCCCTCGTTGACCCAACTCAGGCCCCTGCTCCCAGTACGTCTCTTTAGTAGCAGCAGCAGTAGTAACTAGTCTCTGTCTGTGTCCTCATGTTAGCCCCAGTGAGCACACTCTACCCTTAGAGCACCCTCGTGTTCCCGATGCTTCTCTCTCAGTCGGGAGGCATCGCTGTAAGAGAGAGGGGCAGTCATGAAGTTGTCAATACCACTGAGGCAGGAGGACCCCAAGACAGCAGGGTGTTGAATCATCAACCAGCTGCAAACATGTCAGTCTGGCGTGGTGCCCTGGGAGTGAGTGCACGTGACCAACTGGCTGGACCTCAGTCCTGGGAGGGACACTCTAAGGAGTGGCCAAAGGTAAGAGTCCAGAGACAGGTGACTGCCCTCAGCTACTATACTGATGGCCCCTCAGTTTGCCCAGAAGAGATACAAGTGGAGGGGCCTTCAGTGCCAAGGTGTCAAAGGTTAAAGGGGCTCTGCTTCCCAGAGTCTAAATGCAACTCGGTGTCCTTTAGGGCAAGGCATCCCCCCATGTCCTTCTCTCCAAGAAGCTACTGAACTAGCCAGTCAGTCACCACATGGTATAGGGTATTCGAACGTCATCAGAGAGGAGGCCATGCTCACTCCTGCCCGCTCCATGCTGGGCCCCATTGTAGCTAGAGTTTTCCGCCTTGCCCACAGTCAGGACAAATCTCTGTCACCCGCCAGTCCCACAGCCGCTCAGACCCAACCAAGTAAACACAGAGACTTATATTGCTTACAAACTGTATGGCAGTGGCAGGCTTCTTGCTAACTGTTCTTATAGCTTAAATTAATCCATTTCTATAAATCTATACCTTGCCACGTGGCTCGTGGCTTACCGGTGTCTTCACATGCAGCTTGTCATGGTGGCGGCTGGCAGTGACTCCTTCTGCCTTCCTGTTCTTTCTTTTCTCCTCTCTGTTAGTCCCACCTATACTTCCTGCCTAGCCACTGGCCAATCAGTGTTTTATTTATTGACCAATCAGAGCAACAGATCTGACATACAGACCATCCCACAGCACCCCAACCCCAAGGAGAAGATTCTAGGGGTACAGTGCCACAGGCATCATCATGTACCACCACACTCAGCTCTCCACCCTCCCTCTCCCCTGACTCTCTGTGTATATTTTATTTTTGTTACATAGTTGAGGTAACACGTACATGGCTTTCTTACTTCCCTTACGCCCTTAACATAAGCTGTTCCCATGATACTACAATGCTTCTGGTTTTACAGGCTGCACACATTCCATCAAAACACTCTATCTTTCTGGGTCACTTTCACATGGTGGCTTTTTCTGGGGTTCCCCTAGGCTCCTCTGCTGCCTATGAGATCCCAGGCCGTGATAGCCCTGGTGCCCAAAGCATCCAGAATCACTTTGGGAGACCAAAGGAGATTCCGTCCGGCGTCTGAAGCCAGAATGTAGGAAGCAGGATGGCGTGGGGGATTGTGTATTTTAAAAGCCACCCCACATCTTTAGAAGTCACGTATTTTAAAGCCTCCCTGGCTGTACAGATCCTTCCAGGAACTTAAAACAAGATGCCTCATCTTAAACTAGACAGCGCAATATCTACCTTGCAGAGCCATCGGGGGAGAGACTTTGTGGAGCTCAGGAGAAAGCTAGGGGCAGTGTTTATAACTGAACGGAGTCTTGGCCCTACGGCTTAGGTTGTAGTGTTCTCTTCCCTCCAGGGAGAGCGTCAGAGTCCAGGTCTCCTTGTCCTCCTCGGCTTCAACGCAGAAGGCATGCTCGGCTTTTCAGGCATACATCTGCCGAATGGCACAAAAGGAAAGTCAAGAATGCGTCGAGCGTGACATGCGCAATGTGTACTCAGGACTCTCCGGCAGGGCAAATGACCTAACTGACCACGGAGCCCTGGAGACGGGAGCTTCCAACAGATGTGGAGGACCAACCAATAGGAACCGTCTCCCTAGCCAACCAGGGATGGGGTTAGACTCAGGAAGGGAAAGAGGAAGTTAGACTGTTCTGTAGTTAGCCTGCGGTCGTGGTCCGGTAAAAACTGTTTCTGCTTGCTCATGAGATAAGCACAGAATTTCCGAGTAAATACCTAGAAATTGTGACCACAGTTTTCCACCAGGCCCAAGGCACGATCATTTTTCTAGAGGTTCGTTTTGATTAACATTTCACAAAGCAGTGACCCACGACGGATGGGGTCTTTCAAAGCGGTCCTTCACCATCAAGAGCTTGAGATGCACACCCCGCAGCTGCTCAGTGTGGCATCTTGTGGCACATCTGTGGTGTCGGAGAGACACCCCCCCCCCCTTTTCATCGTTTGGGACTATGACTCTGCAGGAAGAGTCTCGGAAGAATGGGGGGGGGGGATCCAGATGTCCCCAGGAAGACAGGGCTGGGAAAGGCTGAGGAGAAAACGATGGGATGGCATGCTCCTGGAACGTCTCTCTCCCTGCAGACAACCTCTGCATCCCACATGGCATCTGCCTTCAGCCCCCTGCTGTGCTGATGTCCTGTACATTGAGCTCCTGCGGTAGACTGAGTCTGCCCCTAGCTGCTCGGAGGCAAACCAAACGGAGACCTTTTTGTTACGTGCTTCCTCAGATGAACTCATTTGCTTTTCCCTGTGGCCTTGTGAGATGCGCTCTGTTTTTAATCTTCAATCTTAAGACAAGACGGCGTTTCAAAATCAGCCTGTAAGTGGCGGAAGTGGAAGCTGCCTTCCAGACGGCCCATTCCAGGCCTGGGATCCAAACCAGCTTTTGACATCATGGCCCTGCCTTCCAGGGGCTTAAAACCTGGTTGGGTTGGTGAGACCCTGAGTCTTAGCAGTCTGGGAGTCCCGACTGTACACCCAGGAGCTTGGAGAAAGGAAGACGTCTTGGGGCTAGGAAGGCAGCCATCTTGGGCCTGTCCCTCACAGGCCTACTCATTCAGTGTTCTTATTCCTTCCCTCTATGATCCTGGCTCCACTCCCTCCTCCCTGGAGCCCCAGAGGGGTGTCTCTGGCTTCATCCTCATGGTGAGCTTAGAGATATGTATGAGGCCCCTGTCTCCTGGTGCAATAATGACAGGGATAAGTGGCTGTCAGTACCCTGAGCTCCTCAGGCCCTGGTTCCCCTCATCACCTCATAGCCTCTCAGCCTCAAGCTGTCTCCTTAGCCTGGGCTTTTTCTTCCAGAGGACTGTAGAGATCCATTGAAAAATGGCTCTGAGGGGCTCTGCCCGGCCTGGCTTCTTATTGACTCTAGGTCTGTTCAAGTTTTGCTCGGCCTTCGAGGCTGAGCTGAGGCCGACTGCCTCCAGACAGAAGTCCCTGCGCTGGTGTGGACCTGCCACGTGGTGATGGGTCCTAGAGAGCCGTGGCCATGCCAGGCAGCCCTACCATCACGCCACCCCGTCCTAGGCCCAGCCCTATTCCTGACTTTTCTTTAGCCCTTGAAGACTCCCCAAGTCTTTCTACTGGGATCAACAGACTTGCGGGGTGGGGTGGGGTGGGGTGGGTGGGTGTCCCCTTAACTACCCAGAAGATGGCCTGAGGAGAAAGTTCTTGTGATTCTTATTACCCTAGCGAGAAAAAGACATTGAAAAAGGCCAAAAGACCAGGCCAACACCACAGAAGTAGTTAGTGGATTTTAGCGGCATAGTTCACCCTCAAGTTCCAATGTCTGGGTGTTCCCCAGCCTGCCATGCTCTCCCACAGCACCCCAAAGCCAAACAAAGCCCAAACATATGTATCACCCTCATTTCATCTCTTATTTTATTCTTTCATTAATTCCAGAAATTTCATACTAGGATATATTGTTCATGGGTCCTATCCCTGTGTGGACTTCACTTTTTTTTATTTTTCCTGTCTCCAGGTCCCTGTTCTCCTGGCATCTGAGTCCTCCCAGGGTCTTTTCAGAGCTGTCTGTCCCCAGCAGCCTCTCAAAGCCCCCTCCGTGAGCTCGGTGGAGAGAGCTCCAGCCAGGGCTGCCGGAGCAGACCCTACACCCTGCATATGTCCTTGGGATCCTGGATCAGGAGGGCAGGGCTGTGTTCTTGGCAGGACAAACAGTCCCGGTTCTGAAGGCCCCAGAGGCCAGGACAGAGTTTTAAATAGTCAGCGACAGGCCGATTGTGTTGTCAGCGTTGACTGAATCAGGTTTAATTGTTGGTTGGTGCTGAAATGATGAATGAATGAGAGGAGGCTTTAAATAGGAACCCGACGTGTTTCAGCCTCACCCCGGGTGGGAACTCAGAGTGCCTGTGTCTCCTGTTCAAAGAGGCCCCCGGAGGCAGAGGCCGTGGAGGGCTGCCAGGCCCAGCTCCACCTGCTTCGGAGGGGCGGGTCTGGAGTTCCCGGACAGAGATCCAAGGAGGGCCTGATGAGGGTTAGGGAAGACGAGAGCTCGATGATATAATAATCCATGGACCAATCCATCTATCCATCTGTCATTTTTCTCACTGAGCCTGCCTGTCACAGGCCCCATGGTGGCCCACCTGCTGCTCTCCTGGCTCCACGTGGTCCCCTGTTCATCACAAGAAAGCACGTTTATATAATCGGAGTCCAAACTCAAATGTCTTGGCTCTGTTCCCAAACTAGCTGTCACCAGGCTCCCAGGCTCCCTTTGCCGGCCAACCTGAGGGATGGCCTATCTGACCCAGGGAAGGCCGGGGGAGGAGAGGAGATGGCCAGGAGAACACACGCACTGCGCCAAAGAAGAGCCTGGGTTGCTAACGGCTTCTTGAGCTCCTCCTCAGCCTCACAGCCTGCTGGGATTGTTCAAGGGAAGGTCCTAGAGGGAAAGACAGGAAGCTTTGAAGGGCAGGCAGCGGCCTTCACTGGGTGCTCCTGGCTGAAGCAGGGGCCACCTTCTCAGCCGGTTCCTCACTTCACTCCCAGCCCTCGTCAGCCACAGCTCTTGTGGGTGAGTGGTGCCTTCCACACCCACCCTTGCTCTATACATCTTTGAGATGTGTGCCTGTCCTCGGCCATCTCTTGACTTTTGCCACAAACCCGCATGTTGGCGGGGGAGGCCTACGTCACTCTTTTTAGATGATTGATGACGTGAAGCTTGCAGCAGACCCTAGGGACCCGCCATGGCACAAAGATGAAAGGTTTTTCTGTCTGATGTAGGGGTGCCTTCCGAAATGGTGCTGGTTGAGTCCGCTAAGATAAACCGGCCCTAGAGTGAGAGGAGAAAAGGCCCAGGACTCAAGACGTGAGATGTCCAGAAGGCCAGGGGGAGGTTGGAGCGGTGGACCCCGGGTTCAGAGCACTTGCTGTTCTTGCAGATGACCGGGGTTCGGTTCCCAGCACCCACACCGCGACTCACAACCCATCCAACGCCCTCTTCTGACCTTTGTGAGAACTGCATGTGTGTGGTGCACAGATACAAACGGGCAAAATACTCCCACATACAAAATATAAATAAATAAACCTTCTTAAAAAACAAAAACAGGCCAGGGGTGGGCGGGCGGCTAAGTTTAACTGGCACTCTGGATGACGGAGGAGGATAGACCAGGGCCGTGGGGTTCTCGGGAGCAGAGGAGGAAGGATGCTACCCGGTGAACAAAGGATGTCTTCAGGACAGAGGGGAACTGCAGCAGGCCTTTGTGGGCAAGCTGTCCGCTCCGTGGTCCCTTTTCCTTTGAGTTTAGTGGGGGACCAGGGAAGAGACCACGACAGCTCCAACTCCCCGGGAGCAACTCTCCCTCACAGTTGAGGGGGAGTCTCTCTCAATGCTCTAGAAGGGAAAAAAAAGGGACAAAGAGGCAGAAGTCAAAGAGGCCCCAGCTCTTTAGTTAAAAGTCCTTGGTGTGTTGCGCCGGGCGGTGGTAGCACACGCCTTTAATCCCAGCACTCGGGAGGCAGAGGCAGGCGGATCTCTGT